CCCTGCTGGGTGTAGAACACTCGGGTGCCCAGGTTTGCCGTCAATACTTTGGCGATGCCCTGCAGGTTCCTGGCTATCGACGATTCTGCGTACTCGATGCTGGAGGTGTACATATCGGGAGCCGCCTTCAGGATATCGGCGCCCTTCAGCGCGTCCAGTCCGGTTTGACCCAGATAGTCCATTGTGGCGCCCAAACCCACCGTTGGAGAATACATGCGTGAGAAAATATCCAGCGCCTGCGAACGCTCCGGCTCGCCCGTGATACCCGTAAGCACGCCATACGTCTCCAGAACGGCCACTGACGCCACGGGCACGCCGGTCAGCGCCATCGCCCGCGGTAGACCCCGACCGAAGTTCACCCCGGTCAGCACGTTTTCCGAGTTGGGGTCCAGATCACGGATCACGCGACCCAGCCAACCCTCGGTTCCCACCTTTTCCGGTTCGCAAGTGTGCCAGATATCCATGCTGCGGAAGTGGCTCCGGTTCGGCGTCGGATACCCAACACCGTTTATGATGGCCACCTTGCCGGCGTCGTACAGGCTCTTGATCTCGGCCAGCGCCGGATTCAAACCCAGCCGGCCATCGATGGTCAATACTTCATCCGCCGGTATCCCAACGCTGGGCCGGCTATCGTGATACCGCCCGTCCGTGTAGGGAATAACCGTGTTGAGATAATCGTTGCCCCCGGTAAGCTGGACTACGACGAGAATCGGGTCTTTGTTGGTGCTGGTCATAGCGAAGCGTCTCCGTGCCTTGTTGCGAAAAAATTGCCGGTTTGATGGTGGCCCTAGTTTAGCACAGCCCAATCGGGCGGGCCTATTGGCCGGGCCTACCGAGATGTGAACCCCCGCCCCCGCTCGTCCTGAGCCTGTCGAAGGGCCCGAACCCCCGTCATGGCGAGCGTAGCGCGGCGACGTGGCAATCCCGATGCCAGGGGTGGCGAACCTCCGTCATTCCGGACTTGATCCGGAATCCACCGGGGGAGCAGGGGTGGGTGGATTCCCGCTTTCGCGGGAAAGACGGGGTGGAGGCGGAACCCCCCACTTCCCACGCATCCCGAGCCTGTAGAAAGACCCCCTCTCCCTCGATGGGAGAGGGTTGGAGCCTGCCCCGTACTTGATACGGGGGTGAGGGTGAGCCCCCCGTCATTGCGAGCGAAGTGCCGCGTTTGACATCCCCGGCGTTTCCGGGCATGTTGGCCCCATGCGTGCGTTGCTGGCCGGTACTTCCGGAGTGGACAAGGGCGTTGTCATCTCCAACCTGATCGCCAGGCTGGCCGCCCACGGCGATATCCCCCGCGACCCGGGCGACGCAAATTCCGACGCCAATTCGCGCCATGTGCTGGTGGCCAACGTCGAAGACATCATCGCCGAGCAGGGCGACGATTTGGCCAGCGCCCTGTCATCCTTCCGTCCCCGCTACCAACTGGCGGCCTGGCAGCGGGCTGGCCTGCGCATCTCCCAACAGCTGGAGTCAGCCGATCCTCACCACTGCCTCATTGCCGCCCACCTCACCTACTACACCAGCGGCCGGCAGTTTTCGCTCATCGACGTTCCCACCATCCGCCGCTGGCGACCCGACTGCATCATCACGCTGGTGGACGACATGCTGGACATACACGCCGCCATGCAGCGCCGCGACGCCGACCAGCACACCAACTTCCGCCTCCGCCTCCGCGAGATCCTCGCCTGGCGCTCCGCCGAAATCGCCATGGCCGATCTGCTCGCCCGCAACCTCTACGAAATACGTACGATCCCCCACTACGTGGTGGGGGTCAAGCATCCCGCCGAAATGCTCTACCGGCTCATCTTCCGCCGCCGTCAGTATCCCCTGGTGTATTCCAGCTTTCCCATCACCGCCGTCCGTGACGATCCGGACCTGCGGAGCAGGATCGACGACATACGCAACGAGCTGCACCGCCGTTTCATCGTTTTCGACCCCCTGACTCTCGACGAAGGAACGCCCCAGGTGTTCGCCAGGGCTCAGGCCGCCGTCTCCGACGCAGTCCCCGAGATAACCATCTGCGAGCACGAAGCGCGCTGGCCTATGGAGATAGCCGGTACTCTCAGCGACGGACGCCCTCCAACTTACCCAATGACCCTCGACCCGCAGGAGGCTCTTGAGGTTTGGGACGATCTGGAGAACCAGATTCGTCATCGCGACCTCACCATGGTTGAGCAGGCCCAGTGCATCGCCGCCTACCGCATCACCATGGGCGGTCGGCTATCCACTGGTATGTACTCTGAGTTGATGTATGCCACGCACACCGCCGAGCCGGCCCGTCCCGTGCTGATGTTTGCCGACCCGTCGGATAACGGCCTTGAGCATCCCTTCCTGCGCAACTTCAATCACCGCACCTTCTACTCCGTCGACGATTGGTACGATGCCGTCAGCAGCATCGGGCCTGCCCCTGACCCCGAAGCCCAGCAACCGTTGTTCTAATACCATCTCGGCAGCGCAAAACCCCCTACCCACGCATCCTGAGCCCCCTGTCATTACGAGGAGCGGCAGCGACGTGGCAATCTCGATGCCAGGAATGGGTGGATTCCCGCTTTCGCGGGAAAGACGGGGGTGAGGGCGCAACCCCCAACCCCCCGTTCGTCCTGAGCCTGTCGAAGGACCCCCTCTCCCTTGATGGGAGAGGGCTGCGTGGGGGTAACAATGTCCCCGGTCTTTGCGAGGAGCGCCAGCGACGTGGCAATCCCGATGAGGTTGAACATACATCGGCGGTCCGCTGCTAGCCGGCTGCGTCGCATGTAACTGTTCAGAGTTGAAGGTATTATTCTGGCCCCAACCGGTCTTTCCCGCGAACGCGGGAATCCAGGAGGCGAGGATAAGCACCATTGCGGTAAAAGACGTCTCTGGATTCCGTCTCAAGGCCGGAATACGGAGGTGTATGGAAACACACGTCGAGTCTGAACTGTTACCGTCGCATATGTGTTGAGCCAAATTTCTCGCGCAAAATGATCATCATGGTGGTGGGAAGTGTACTGATCACATCCCACACCAGCCATGACTAAGATTCCACTTTAGCTCCCCAAACCATGGCAGGTATCGCAAATTGCTCTGTTATCAGATTCTCACCAGCGAATACGAGCGTGCTTTTTTGCGGCAGTTCAGTCAGGATGAAGAACCCGCGTCCTCAGACGTTAAATGAATTGCCCACCGTCGTATGGCGACAGCGTTCGGGCAAATTTCGGCATCCATGCTACCTGGGTTGCATCCCGCTGCTAGTTCAACTAGCATTCCCAAATTTCCAACCCACTACAGTGAGGTAGTTATTTTATTGACAAAGCATTCGGCCTATTTATCTATTCTCCCTTTGGTCCTGTTCGTACTCGCAACCGCCATCGCCTGTGCGTCAAGCACCCAACCAAATACACCGAGAAGTAACGACGCCCACACACCAACCACACCCGCCGACGCGACGCTAGCGGTCGAGCCTGGCACAACCACGATCACCGCAGATTGGCCACCCGTAATGAACGCCGACACCTACGAAGTCCGCTGGCGTCAAACCGGTGATGACTTCACGGACGCCGCCTCAATGTCCACCACCGAATCCGATGCCGAGTTCGACGTCGGGAGCCAGGGTTTATGGATAGTGCGCGTGGTGGCTTGCAACGCCAGCGGGTGCAGTGATCCCGCAACGTCCTCAGCCCCTGTCATTATTAACATCTTGGGACATCAGGCCGTTCGCGCGTGGGATACCGATGCTGGTATCCATCTCGACTGGGACCCGCTTCCCGGCGGCTACGTGGTCAAGTATCGGCTGAGTACGGATGCCAGCATGTGGAAAAGTTCAACAGTGCTATCCGAGAACGGCTTCACCATCACCGGGGATGACCTGACTGACTTCGAGGGTATCGGCTCTCCGATCATTCGCGTGCACTTCAATTGCGACACCAACGGCGAGCATTGCACGCTCCTTGGCAGGTATCCCAATAACGATATGCAGGAGCTCAGTCGCTTCGCCAATCCCGGCGCACCGGAGAGGACAACTGTTGCCAGGGGCCGCCGCTCAACGCCCAACGAACTACCCGATCCGGTGACCCGCATACTTCGCCCTGTCGGAGACTTCACCGTGACCTACAAAACGGTCGAGGGCTACGATGATCCTTTCCGTTGCCTGGAGCGGGACGCCGAGAACGCGTGGGAGCGGAATTTTTTCGGAGACACTGTCAAGAAATGCTCGGGATCACAATCCGAGATTCTCGATCACTACGTGTATGAGCCCGACACCACCTTCCCGGACGGTGCCATCTGCGGCACCAGAAAGCCGAAAACCGATTACGAACGAGATCAATTCGGTGAGGAGGTCAGGGTCTGCAACAGGCATCCCGATCCAGATGACGATCAGCAAAATTCACCATCATCGACCGACCCATCCACTCGCACCCACATCGCCGACCCGGCCCGTCCCGTGCTGATGTATGCCGACCCGTCGGATAACGGCCTTGAGCATCCCTTCCTGCGCAACTTCAATCACCGCACCTTCTACTCCCTTGACGATTGGAACGATGCCGTCAGCCGCATCGGGCCTGCCCCTGATCCCGAAGCCCAGCAACCGCTGTTCTAATACCACCTTGGTAGGGCCAAATCCCCGGCCACTCATCCGGAGCCCCCTGTCATTACGAGGAGCGGCAGCGACGTGGCAATCTCGATGCCAGGAATGGGTGGATTCCCGCTTTCGCGGGAAAGACGGGGGTGAGGGCGCAACCCCCAACCCCCCCGCTCGTGCTGAGCCTGCAGAACAGACCCTCTCCCTCCATGAGAGAGGGCTGCGTGAGGTTGATCCCCCGTTCGTCCTGAGCCTGTCGAAGGACCCCCGTCATTGCGAACCGCGGCAGCGACGTGGCAATCTCGGGGGAACTGAACGCCCAGTGGAAACCCAATCGCCGCGCTTTCCCAATATGCCGCCGTCGCCCGTGTTGACGCCGGCCCCCGATGTTGCGTAAAATTGTGACAACATCGACTTCCCGTCAGGGGGTGACGAATTTATGCCTATTACGCAGAACGGCGTTGAACTGACCGTTGAGATTTCGGCAAAGGCCGCCGAGAAAATCAAGTATTTCGCCGATAAAGAAGGAATCATGGGTGACGTGGGCCTGCGGGTGGCGGTTAAGGGTGGCGGCTGCTCCGGTCTCACCTACGACCTTACCATCACCGACCAGGAGCGCGAATCCGACAAAATCGTCGAACAGTACGGTGTCAAGGTCATGGTGGACAAGAAGTCCTACATCTACCTCGTTGGCACCCAGCTCGACTTTTCCGACGGGCTGAACGGCAAGGGTTTCGTGTTCGAAAATCCCAACGCCAAAAAGGCTTGTGGCTGCGGCACCTCCTTCGCCGTATAACCCGTTCCCCGAATCTCGGGGTCAAACCAACCGTGGTTCTCTGACGGCCGGGCGGTACAACCCCGGCCGTCAACCTTTCCATACCCACCGCGTTGCCAGACCCACTGCCGCATCCCGGCAACCCGACCCGGCTTCGATTCGCGCCGACACCATCCCGTTCGTTCCCTCCCGATTCCGTCTGTTCCAGGAGGCTCACCTTGGCTACCGTTGGCATAGATGCTCACACCGCCGAAGAATTTCGCGTCGCAACCGACCAGGCCGCCTTCTATCAGTCCAGTTCCGGCCGCCTCAAGCTGGTCGGTGAAGATGCCCGCGACCTGCTCAACCGCCTGTCCACCAACCTGATCGACCCGGATGCCTCACCCGGCTCCGTGAAAGTTACCGTTCTCACCAGCGACCGCGGCCGCATCGTGGATCTCGTTTGCGTAATCCATTGCGGCGACTACCAGCTGATGTTGACCAGCCCCGGCCAGCAGCAAGCCGTCATCGAATTCCTGGATAAGTACACCATCATGGAAGACCTGGAGATCGAGGACGTTACCGGCAAAACCGTAATGCTGAACGTCGCCGGCCCCTCTGCTGCCGAAATCATGCAGAAAACGGTGCCCGAAGCTGTTGCCGACTTCGTGCCCGGTACGTTCCGGCCGGTCACCGTGGGCCCCGAGGCCGCGTCAGCGCTGCTCATCCTCCCGCCGTCCAACCCGGAAACCGACCGGCAACGGCCCGAATACCTCCTGCTGTTCATGGATATTGACGCCGCGCAGTCGATGGAAACCACCCTGCGGGACGCCGGCGCAGTGGGCATCAGCGCCGCCACGGCTGAAACCCTGCGTATTGCCAGACAGCGGCCCCTCTACGGCGCCGAGATGAGCGATACCTATAACCCGTTGGAGGCTGGTCTGATCGGCGCCATCGACTTCCACAAGGGTTGCTACATCGGCCAAGAGGTTATCGCCCGGCTGGACACCTACGAAAAGGTGCAGAAATACCTGGTCGCCCTGCACTTTCAAGCCGATAACGACGGTGTGGACAATCTCGCGGGGACGCTGCCCGGCTCCCGGTTGGTTGACGCGGACGGAAAGGCCATGGGGCTGGTTACATCGGCAACCGTCGTACCCACGGCAAACGGCGCCGGCGTCATCGGCCTCGGTTACGTCCGCACCGCCGCCGCAAAAGTAGGCAACGCGCTCAGCGTCACCACCCCCGACGGCGAGGCCATCAGCGGACTGACAGCTCACATCACGGCGCAACCCCAGCTGTTCGGCGGTGAGCAACCAACCCTCAGCGCCTGACCTGCACACGGCTCCGCAGCCGTGTCCGCCACCTGCTGATGCATGGCATCCCGATCAACCACCTGTTCCGGTGGCTGGGCCATGCCTCGATCACTCCGACGCTGGCTTACCTGGAGCTGGTGCCTGACCCGACAGGTAATCTGGCGGCGGTACCGTGATCGCTAAAGGCCAACCCCGTAAATCTAAATGTTCTGGGGTGGTATGGACCCTGGATTTTTAGTTCATCGTGGCCGCGGTCGTCGCGCCTCTCACTCTTGGGGTGCTGCTGATTTGGCTATGGGACGGGTCGTGGGATTGGGGTAGTGGCGACGATGAATCTGGCAGCACTACCATACGCAACATCGGTCTTGTTATCGCCGGCATAGAAGCTCTGATATTCGCGATGTGGCGGAGCATCGTGTCCGGACGGCAAAATGAAGCGGCTCAGCAGCAATCGGAGACAGGCCGACGAGCCTTACTGAACGACCGCCACGAGAGGGCCGTCGAACTGCTAGCAAATCGTGTGCTCGCTGTCCGACTCGGTGGGATAGAGGCATTACGTCGCCTCGCTGAAGAGGACCCCCAACACTACCATCTGCCTGTGGTGAACCAATTCTGCGCGTTTGTCCGCCACCCAACTCCGGACCCCGAACTGATACAAACATTCGTCCTCGATTCGTCTCAGGGGATGGTGGTCCCTATAGTGAGGGATGATGTACAACACGCATTGGTGGCCGTCGGTCGTCGGAGTGAGGCGGGCATCTAACTAGAGCA